GTTATCCCTAGTGAACAGTGTAAACTGTAAACGAACCGCACCGCAGTTTTAGGAATTACTCAGTATGCAACCATGCTCGTTACATATCGCAAGCTCTTGCGTAGAAATCTGCAACAATCTTTAATGATTTATTATCGTTATAATTCCGTTGCTCACTACGAATTAGCAAAACGTCATGCTACGCAATAAGGAAGGTGAGCATATACGTCTTGAATGTTTCTCGTTTCCGACTTAAAATAATGAGGCGGAAGCGATTGCAGGGCGGAACAATCGTCCATTCCGGCTGCGTATGAGCGGCGGCGGAAACTGCTCAAGCGCTCGCGGATGTGGATTTATTTACTCTTTTATTTATCAACCGATCTAGACCACATCTGTCGGGCGACAAACGTACACAGCTGCCCTTTATGGTATTCTCGTTACATCGACCTCCACAATCGAGAGTGCGCACGCGCACCTGTCGCCAGGTGTCCCCACTCAATTCGACTCCTAACGCGTAGGTGGTTATGATTGGAACATAATTAACCCTCTCGCGAACACGAGCTAAAGCTCGCTTAGCTTTAGCTAATGCGAAAGTTATCTGTGCAGAGAATCTCTATCACACGAATATCAACGCTTTTTATTACGAGTAATCAGTCATTATAGGTTATGTGTACTCGTCCATTATGTGGGAGCATCAGCTTTTTATGTTTCTTTCACAACACTTAGAAAAGTTGATTTCAAACGTAACAACGGGTTATGAAAGAGAATACTAAAAGTAGTGTACTGTTAACCAGCGCAATTTCTTCGCGTAACGTCGCGTACTGCAAAGTACTGCTGAAGTTATGCGATAATGTGAAATAGATTATTTGCTGTCGACATCGACTGCTAACGATCCTTATAGACATAAAGAATACCAACTATTGTCATTTTTTGCGAACAAATTTGGAATTAAAAACTTACGATTTGTAGGCCAGAGAAAGTATTTCGACACGGATAACAGTAAAACATAGATATATCAGAAGGAGTCAATGAACGGAAGTAATTCACGCGTGGTGACATGAGGCCGAACGTTTATCGTGGCTTGCGTAAGTGCCTACATACGGAATTCCAATGTGCGCTGTTATATTGAAATTGTTATTAACTCTTATGTTCACTTAAAAAGTTTCTTAGAAAACCTAAGTCTAATTTTAGGTAAATATAACTTTTAAGTAAGTCTTGTTAAAACTTCATATACTTGCTTGCTTTCTACAGTGGTATTCTTTCTCCGTTCAGCCGTCGCACGATTGCAAAACCCAGAGGTCGCGCTTTCTTCGTTCGCGATGCCGGAGAAATTGTTGCGACACGCCGCCGCGTACACCGACCCCGAGCTAGAAAGTCGTCCGCTCACCGGAATTAACACTCGCGACCACGTAACGGTGTAATTGCAACAATTCGACGCGAGAGAGAGATCAATGAGAATTTGGATTCTTTTACGGGTGTATACGGGGCGCTTTCTTTCGTTGCGCAATTATCGCGTAATACATTCGGGGTCGTTGTCCGCCTGTTTCTTAAATGTATAACAGAACATAGAATAAGATGACATAGTACAGTTAGCCAATTACATGACGCTTGGTAGTATTTGCGCAACTGACTCTGGAGTGGCGCCCGTTCCGCAGTCTCCGGAGTTGCAACACGGGATTATTTCGGCACGTTGGACCGCCGCCCGGACTTACAACATGCCATATCGCAACGCCTCATAATCCATTGTCAGTTGTACAGTTGTGACATGCGTCCCGAGAGCGGACGCCGCCCGCCTGCCAAATACGGCCTGCATTGCAGCTGTACGCAGCCATTTCATCTTCTTGCTTTGCTAAATGTCACCGGTGCACATACAGACATGACGAGGCTTGTTGGCCCATTGACGCTGCATTGGATTTTAAAACTAAAACAATTTTGCAACCGATGTTCACATTAGCGTTTTCGCAAGCAGCCCAGCGCTTGGTTTCAAAACTTACGCCTTGCGTTATCGCGGCTCCGATAAAGCGAGCCATGCCACAGCTTGTGCGGTTTTGAGACCTAAATTCTGTAGTTGATATAGAACGTAAAACTTATCGGGGAAACAATATTTGTTTAATGACTATGGGAATCGACTTGCGCGATTTCATAAAATTTCATCACAATTAAGTTCCGTCGAGTCACGTGTATGTATAGTGTATACCACTTAAAATAGTCTAGATAAGGTAAAAAGTTGTACTAATGTTGTTTATAATAGAAAGTTATCATATAGCAAGTCAGCAGTGGGAACGAGTACGATTGCACAATTCATGCGTCCGTGTGTAATTGGACAGAGTCGGGATGGTTTCCCAACTTATCCCGGCTCCTCCGCGCTGTGTGGCAATGCGCTTGCGACATCACATGTTCCTACAATGCGGGTTACGAAAACTTATGACTAACTATCTTCGCAGGGCACGGAAATATCAGTATGGAGAGCGAACGAATTATAAATTGCTGACGGAGCTATTAAGTGTAGCGTTTCGCAAGAAGCATGTTCGACGCATCGAGACGGTTTTGTGTATCGTCGCACAAAGCGTTAGCCAGCGTTGCGCAATCATTCGTCATAGCAATATAAAGTCGAGCAGGAAGTGCATGCATGTGTGCTGCATCTGTGCCGCGGCTGCCATTGTTTATTACGAAACTATCAGGGTTGAGTTGAGCAATGACGGTCATTGCGAAACTTGCGCCGGCGCATCCCGCTAATTGTGGGCGATCTCCCACACTAGGTATATGTAATACATATTAACATATCAAAACTATACCCATGTAGCCGCAGTGCCGATTCTATTTACATAAAACCAGAATTTCTGGGTTTCATTAAAATAATTGATATGGAAAATTAGTGATATCCATAGATGATTATCCTAATGAATGTTTGCTAGGTCGAGTCGACCAAGGCTAAGGCGAACATTACCGAGTACACGTAGACACATTGTACATAATTCAAATGAAACGCTTATTAGTTAATATTATTGCAATTCATACGTGATTTAATAAAATAAGTATACGTTGTGGTAATACACTTATACCTGTAGTCATCACGACTGCAATTAAATAAATAATTTGAATATTAGGCAACGCGAAGTCAATTTTTTTATTAGGACCATAATCCAGAAACACTAATAAAAACAAGTATTCATGTAATTTTATAAAGATTAAAAAAATATTACATTTTCCTCTTAAAGGGGTCAAATAGAAATACGCAGGCGACCTCGCGAGTGGAACATTGGCAGGTAGAGCAGGTCTAGCGCAGTGGCGGTGGTGTCCTTTCGCGGTCCCGCGTCCGCAACCGAGAATCCTTCGAGGCCACTCGCCCGCGCCCGCACCTCTCGGAACACGCTCGGAAATCCGGCCAACCTTCCGACCGGCTTACGACACCGTGTAACTTATTTACACGTTGCGAAATACGAATCGATTGCAACTGCAGACATCGCACTTTAGCCTTGCTGTAAGGGATTTAATTAGGATCATTGCGCAGTCGCCTAAAACGGATACGAGGACTCCTTCTCCGCTCACTGCCAAAAAAGGATATTGACGTCATCTATTTATAGCGTGAACTAGAGCTAAAGCAATGAAAACGAGCCGATTCGTGTCATCAATGCACAATGCAACCCCTGAAATCATTTAATTTATTAGAATATAAAATTACTATAACAAATTATTATTATCGATCGATAAGTTTCAAGAAAAATTAAGAACACAAAACTAAATGCTCCGAAATAAATTGCGAAAGTCATGCCAAGTAACCTAACGAGAGTAACCTTTAGTTAGAACGGCGCACCGTATTGTCACGATCGATTAATAAATATGTATGTTACTAATAAATCACTATCTCCTTATCTCGCTTCTCAAATTATCGCAGCGTTGCGTTATGTTAATCACTGGGCCTTCGCACTACAGTTGTGTGAGGAGGGGTAAATCAGCGCTGGTGACTCGCGCACTGTTTGTCAAGCACTGGAGACCGCAACTTGCAGGTTTTGTAACTTCGCTTTGAGCAAACCTGATGTTTATTACAGCTTTCGGAATCACTCGTAATCGTATGTGCACGTTTCTTCACTGCAAATCGGGCTATTAGAAATCCTTGATCGTGGTCTCGTCTAAAATAACCCGGGACCCTTCTCAAAAATCACTCAACATGCCGTTTCCCCGCTGGCTATTATTAGAATGCTTGAAATATTGCGTGCTTCAAATGGGTTCTACTGTTGCGTGGCTGTTCATATGCACCTGCCTGAAAATAATACCTAGTATTTACATGTCCAGAACTTTACGTATACTTTTTGTGTGCTTCTCATTTTACGAAGTCAATCGCTGGGGTCGTTATGAACGGAAGGTATTATTCGTTCAACTGTGTAAATATTTGTAGTTCAATAACACTCCCTTGGGAAAGAAAATGTCTTGCTCAGTTTCGGTGTGTTTAACCCGGGCACTAGGCCCGGGTTGTATCTACATTATTCAAAATCATACAAATTTACGGTGTAATGTTTCGAACTGTGCATTTAATGCGTTTCGAAACGATGCGGCGGCTGTGAAATACGAGGTCGCAATGCGCCCAAAGCCCGTGATGTGATGAAACAAAACCTATTGCGTCATCGAACAGCTTTATGGTTCGCCATGTAATTATTTACGTGACATTATAGCTCCATACACGGCTAAACCCTTGAATGAGAAAATTATTTTGCAATGATCGCGAGCTTTCCGCTTTAATGTGCAGTACTTCGCTAATTAGTTGTAGCGCGAGCCATTAATAGTAGCTAGTCAAAGGACCGCGCACAAAGGGATTCATTACGAGCGAACGCATCGAATTATATTATATCGAGCGATATTGTATGAGTATCAACTTATTCGCAATTTATTTGGGTCACCGGTCAATGCACGTCAGATGCAGTTGACCCGTTAATATAACGGGTTAAACGGAACATCGATTGTGACAAGAATGTTTAACAAAACTGCCGAATATATTTGTATAATGTATGCTTCTATTGTTTCAGGACGACGCTAAAGCTCGAGTCGTTGGAAGACGCAGTGGTGTTAGACGACCCCGAAGAGGACCTCCTGCAAGATAAGAGAGGGTGTCCCGCGTACGTGTCGCCGGAAATATTAAGAGCTCATCGGACGTACTCCGGGCGGGCCGCTGATATGTGGTCGCTCGGTGTCATCCTGTACACCATGCTCGTTGGAAGGTGTGTACGAATTAATTCTAAACTCGACATAAGTTTTCGACGTATCCCACGCTAGGCGAGTTATCAAATAAACGGTTGCAAATGCCACCTTACATTTTACGCATTCATTAAAACATTTAGGTTAGTCGTAATTAGAAGCATAAATAAAACGTAGGGCAGTGGGGTGGGCGTCTTCACCTGCTAGGCGTGGGACTTACCGTTTTTAGAGATCGCAACGCGGCTTAAGGGTCGCGACGACCGTTGGGCGACGTAGGGATGATCACCTGTCGGCCGTTACGCGCCAACGGCGAGCAATTATATCACCCACATACGTAGTATTGAAATCTTCACAGCACCTGCCTCGGTCATGTGGCGAAGACGTTGTTCCCGAAACGAGCTTTATACACCTGTCGTACTCGGTCCTTTGTTTTCTACCTTTTTCGAAACGCACCCGTAATTTAAATCGAAACTCGGGATTTCGCTGCAATCGCATCACCTGTCGCCGGAAGGGTTCCTTCGTTTACCTGAGTTTTTGTTTCGCACATCTGCCCTCTCGAATGACAATCGGATGGCCCTCATTAATTTTGACTTTGCTTTAAAAAAACTAATGATTTAGGACGTATTAATGAACCCATTTTATTTTTAAATATCGATAACGATCTAAAATAGGGACAGCGGATTTCTGATATCGCCAACAATCAATTTTAACTATCAGTAGATTTATTAATAAGAATAGAAAATAGATATATACTTAATTATTATGTATAATTTATCACTTTAAGGAATTGTTACAAAAATGCTAGTTTGATCTCAGATGCCCCACTGAGTGACATTACCAATTCTATCCTCACCAAACAACTCAACTAACGTCCATCCTATTATTTACAGGTATCCATTCAACGATTCTGAGCACGCGTCCCTGTTCGCAAAGATCTCTCGTGGCTACTTCGTAGTACCAGAGTGCCTCTCGTCGCGAGGCAAGTGTCTCATACGGTCGCTGCTGCGGCGCGAGGCGTGCGAGCGGCTGTCGGCGCGCGACGTGCTGCGCCACCCGTGGCTGGCGCGCGACCCGCGCAACGAGCTGCCGCCGCGCGCCGCCGCGTCCCTCGACAGACTCGTGCCCGATGTGCAGATCGACGAAGACATGTAAAGGATTCGTCCATTTTATATTTATGTGTAATGTTTAGCTGTGCCGGTGCTGGCGTCGGTCGGTATTTATTATATAGGGTCATAAAACACGTCCGTTTTGGGCGTCTGAGCGCGCTTCACCAGCTCTGCCTGTTATGAATGTTCAATTCGTTGTATTCGTATTGTAGACGATGGGGTTGTAATGAATGGCCCTATTTAAGTTTTCGTTTAAATTAAATTCCGGCCTAATTTCGTGTAAGCTTGCGGTTTGCTCACTGAAATGTCGGAAACCCACGCTCCGTTGTGAATTCAGAAGGTAGTATCCCAAGCCAAATAAAGGTCTCCGAGGAGATTCTAATTTAGTGATTACGCGAGCGAGGGCGGCGGGTCCGTCCGCTCGCTTTAATTTATGATGTAGAAGCGAACTAACAATAAGAATCGTATAATCGAGCGAGTGCTTTGTATGGCATCAGTTTATGCGGCTTTTATTGGAACGCGTCGACTTTTACGAGCTGTGGTATAGTTTTAACGTTGGTAATGACAGAATAAGTGAGACTGATAACGCGTTTGTGATCTAATCGAGCTATCCATCTCGTGTGTCGTTGTATGTGGGCCCGACGGCCGACGCAATGAAGCCAATAACGTTTCAATTTCACAATATAGATGGGTATATTGCATTGAAGTTGCTGACTCGCTCCTTGCTTAGTTGCTAGGTAGGTAGAGAACAGTTAGGTAAACTATAGGTATGTATATTTTGTATTTATATGAAAAAATAAATTTATATCGTGTAATTGTGATCTCCACCGATGTTTATTTAGCGATTACTTATTTGCCATTGCGCCGCTCGAGAGCTGGCGCTTCCGTTGCGGCGTTTAGTTGCTTCCATCAGAGTTATAGGTATATTTGATTTTTGGTTATATTAAATCGTGATTGTATTCGGCGTATGTGAAAATTATTTTGTTATTATCTATATCAATTCAAAAATTATGTTATTCGCATCACCATGTACCGAATAAGATCGTAGTTTGGTTTGTGCCATTTATTTAATTAAATCTAATTTATTCGTTGTTGTAACTGACGGTGTGATGACGGCACTTCTTCCTATTATTTAATTATTATACCGTTTGGTACTTGGTGTTGAGTTTTTAATCGATCAATTTGAGATCATCTTTTATAAATCGAATTGTTCCAAAAAATCGATAATGTTACCATGATTGTCAAAATTATTGTTTTTATTTTGTAAATCCTCAGTTTTGTTACATTTTTGGATTCCTGTTGGATCTTTCATAATTGAAAGCGAATAAAGTAGTCAAGTCTTTCAATGTTGAAAGCGTACTGTACAATAGTAGTTACTGTACCATATACTATTAAATACTTTAATTTATACACTGTACATAGCGCTAAGATAAAATAAGATTATCAAAAAAAGGAAGAATGATAAGAGGGAATAAATAATTTAGAAAATTATATCGTACTTTTAATTACCCACCTAACCTATCACCATTCACCTACCTACCAACACATATCCACCGAAATACATTATAATTAAAAAGGAAATATTTGGAAATATTGAATATATTGGGTTCCATGCTAAGCTACGAGGCCGGTGTTATGGATACATGATAGTTGATACACCATAATTAAATACATATATATTATAAATATAAACAATCATGACTCGAGTACAAACATTCGTGCTCATCACACAAATGAATGCCCCCAGCGGGACTCGAACCCGCGACCGATGTCACTGCAAGTACGGTCACTACAAACTGTGCCAAATGTGTCGTCAAATATTAATTAATTATAATATTTATTATATGTAATACAATTTTATATTTGTCTTAATTTATTTCATTAAAACTAACACTTCTGTACTACCATTAATATATTCGAATCTTTAATCAGTTTTAAACCTTGTCATTGTCGTAAATTATTGTCGACCCTAAATATGAACTCGAGGAAAATCTTGTGAACACTGAACACTTATAATGATAAACAATCTCACAGGAATACATAAAAAAAAATCTAAACACATTGGAAGCATGATGAAGAAATAAATAATTATAACGTATTTTTAATTACCCACCTCTATTAAGGCATATTATAGAAAGAGCGTCATAGAACTAAATATTTAACATAAAGCTACACACTAATGATTTAAAATAAAACTGAATATAAATATTAATAGAAAATTCTTTGCTGTTATAAATAAATAAATCTTAATATATAAAATCAGTTTTGGACTCACCATTGCCATAATAATTAGCACTAATTAATTATGACAATGGCACAGATAATGACATTAAAAAAAACCCTGACATTAATGAATATATAAAAAACCCTACAAATAAATCGAATATTACCTATCTACATATACACAGGAAAATAATAGTGACATTAAATAATAAGTGATAAGCAGGGACTGTACCTTGATAATTTATCTAATACGTAATCACTACGTAACAGTGTCGTAGAAGAAAAAACATGCTTTTTTGTTATTATAAAGTTAACTATATCTATTGCCACTATTTATTTAAAAGAATTTCAAAAACAAAATGTTATTTTTATGAAATTAAATTCGAAAAGTCGAATAAAAAATATACTATAAAATATACAAATATGTATTATGTAATTATACTTTAAAATGGATTATTTAACTATACATAATATAATAAAATTGTTAGTCCAATCTGTACATTAAATATTTTTTGGAAAATCTTATTGAAATAGCCATTATTATCAACACAGAGGCCGAATCTATATTTTTTAGGATTTTTGTCTGTCTGGCTGTGACTGCATCATGAGAAAACCACTGGACAGATTTTGTCCAACATATAGAATACTTTGTACTGCTGGAAAATATTTCATCTTTAAGAAATCTATACTAATCATTAAAACGTAACTAGGGACAAACCCTAGAGAAGCTAGGGTGTGAAAAAAAAAATTCTTGTAGCACTCTGATTATTAGAACACACAAATACATCCAGATCAATGTATTTTTATAACAAAATATGTAAAAATTTGTTGTGATGATCCTGCGACCTCTGGCGTAGCAACAGAAACTACAATAACAACTTAAACTTAAGCGATTGTTAGACGCTTCTGTTAGCTCTATAATATAAATGGTTTGTATTTTTATATCTGATATTACTTGAAAAGACATATCTACAGGGTTTTAGGAAATAAATTTTTAAATATATTATTTAAGTTTATTGAAATATTTACACTACAGAGTACATAATTCAACATAATATAAAATCACTAATCAATGTCAACCAATTGTCTTAAACATTTTAAAAATGTTTAGTTAATATGCAAATTAACTATATAGATTCCATGATTTTATTGTGAGGTTTGTTTCAATGTCGATTTAAGCTCTTAACTAAATAATAGCTATTATTTAATATTTTTTCAAAATGATTTACATCACATATTAAAATGTTGTACTAAAAAAATAAAAATAGATGGAAAGGAAAATAAAAAAAAGAGGTTTTATTCGTGTAGTTTACAAATCGTATTTAAAATGTAAGTTTTAATTTAACAAAAATAGCGCTAGCGTATGATACTCATAAAAAATTAGCGCCATCTCTTGACACATATTAGAATCAGAATACTTGCACAGACAAAATAAATAAGATATTACAACATCAGCCTAAACTGGTTCTCTTCACTAATTATGTTACACTTTAGTTAACAATATTAACATATCTGTGGGAGTTAAATATGTTTTCAAAAAAGCTTTTAAAATTAAAGAGTTGATGAACAAAACGGTGTAATTGCAAGAATTTTAATACCTTTTACACTCTTTAATTTATTTTAAAATTTCAAAGTGCAACCATACTTTACCGATCTTAAAATCTAACTCATAATATTCACACTATAGTGTTAGGTTTTAAGATTTTTTAAATCATAATTTCCAAAAAATCTAACGAGTCAAAACTATTAAATATTGTATTATCTTTAAATATCTGCAAATGTTTGTAAATTTGCAACTACCCCCATTTCATCAAGCGCAACTCGACCGCTGAGCACTACACTCCTTTATGACATATTTATATATGGCAAGGCTCGGAAACCCGTTCGGTTTAAGGCTTCGATTATGTTCTTTAACCGGTTAAATCCGGGAGAACGGTTTTTGACGAATTAAGGTTCCATGAAAAAACTAACCGGTTAAAAGGAATTATTGTGTGTTTACATTTGGCGCGTCTTTGATAATGGTGAATGGCTTAGTAGAAGGATTCACGCACGTTTCTTACTATCAATGAATCAATCGGTTCATTTCGATATCAAAACCGAAATCCAACCTTTCTCTAAGAATAACCTTTACCTATTACTATCTCGATTTACTAAGCCGTTCGTTTCCATTAACCGGTTAAAATGAATTAACCATTCATTACCGAAATAAACCGGGTTTTTTAACCGGTTCCGAGCCCTGATTAGGGTATAGGGTAGGGTATAATAGGGTATTAGTATAGTCGCTCGGCCTCACTGGGTCCGTGCTCGGCGGCATACTGCTGCATGCGGCGTTCGAGCTCGGGGCGGAAGTGACGGATGAGACCCTGCACCGGCCACGCCGCGCCGTCGCCCAGCGCGCAGATTGTGTGCCCTGCGACGCGACAATGTTAGTAACAATAATTTTGTTTCTGATTATTCAATAAATAAGTACATATTCTATACTTTTAATATTTTTTTTATAAGCAGCCCTTACCTTCAATTTGTTTTGAGATCTCCCACAACATATCGATTTCTTTAGGTGATGCGTTGCCATCGACGAATCTAAAAATTATGAAAAAAAAAACAGTAAGTAAATTAAAAAATATAACATTTTCCTTATTATTATAATATTTTTATATTATTGCGGGCATTGATATAAAGGAGATTTTGTGTATTCAAATTTGTGTCTAGGGGTCCACTAGTACCTGTATATAATCTTATTCATCCAGGACACGCCCTCGCGGCATGGCGTGCACTGTCCGCAGGACTCGTGCTTGTAGAACATGATGAGGCGAGCGATGGCCTTCACGATGTCCGTAGACTTGTCCATCACGATGATGGCCGCCGTGCCCAACGACGTCTGAGCCGCCACCAGCCCGTCGAAGTCCATTAGTACTGTCGAGCATACGCTGCACACACATACAGACACATTCAAGTCATATTTATACATATCAGTGGCGAAGGGTCCATACAAGTCCATAACAAGACGTCTTACCTTAAAATGTATTTTGCTATACATTATTTTACATACATTTAATTTTTTAAATGTATAAATGTTCTTTTTGAAATATATATATCATATAAAAATATAAATATTGCATTAATACATATAAAAAAATGTATATCAATGTTTTTTTGTTTATTTTTGAAATGGCTTACCTAGGTACCTCACTATTATATGTAATTTTTATAAATATCTATAAATAACTATCTTTTCGGGAGAGTCTCTCCCGTGACCATGGATGCTGTAAAACATTCGAAACGACGGGAAACAAAAATCAAAATAAATCCGCGAAATAATCCGTAATGATAGTTTTATTTAAAATGTTAAATATTATATAATATGTTGTTATTATATAGAGCTGTTATATGTGTAATTGAACGTGGTGAGACACACATGCGCACGCAGACACGCACGCAGGCACGCACTCACACACGTTTGTATTTTATGTATAATGGTACTTACATTATTTATATGTATGTACTTACAGCAAAAAATCATATGAATTGATTGGAGATGAGAAAAGTCTGATATTATTTCCAATTTTGATTTATATTATATTGCAACTAGGAAAAATATATTTTAACTAATAAAATAAACATAACAATTGTTTCAAGGGCCAATTTCAATGAAAACTATAATTCATAATTACAGTTTTTATAAATGCATTTATCAGACCCATTATTTATAAAAAAAAACAAACACATCTCTTACATAATATAGCCCTAGTATAGAATATAATATGATTTACAAATAAAAAAAACCTACTCTTTAGGTATCAACGGAGTAGATGATCCCCCAGGTATGATTGCAAGGAGGTTATCCCAGCCTCCGGTGACTCCTCCAGCGTGTCTCTCTATCAGCTCCTTGAGGGGGATGCTCATCTCCTCTTCAACGGTGCAGGGTGTGTTTACGTGACCCGAGATGTTGAACAGCTTGGTACCACTGTTACGTGGCCTTCCAAAGGATGCGAACCAACTACCTCCACGGCGACAGATTGTCTGGAAGAGTTAATTTTATTTATCATTTATAATTAACAACCCAGATTGCTTAGCAGATGAAGAGAATCATAACAAGGGAATAAGAAAGAGATTTGTAAATTGTAGATTTGCACTCTCTTCTCTCTGCCTACCCAGCAAGAGTTTTGTGTGCATGTGTGTCTTCTAGTATGACAACAGAGGACTAACTAATAAAATTATTATGTAAGACTAAACTGACATAATATATAAATAAAATGATTATTCATAAGCCTTTTTAAGACAGAGTATTGTTATTATTATTTATTTAAAACTAGCTACTTACTGAACTTACCCTTACCAATGAACATATTATAGTATTTAGTCAAATCTTAGAAGACGATTTAAAATTACTTCTAATTATTCCCTAGGTATGTTTTAACACTTAGTATAGATTAGTTTTTTTTTTATGAATTTTGCCTATATTTTAATAGTTGTTCCGTAATTCGAGGTGGCGATAAATCCAACAAATCAAAATCCATGAAAATCAGTCCAGCAGTTCTTGAGTTATAAGTGTTGTAACAAACCGGACTTTGTTAGATATATAAGAATATGTATAAGGAGATTGATTAATATAACCTATTAATCCCTCCACGACCGCGAACACGCCGGCGTTACAGTTAACAATAGATTTCTTAAAAGTTTCATTAGTTTCTTAGAAATTTACCTGGAGGTCTTAATATAATAAAAATTATTTGTTAATAAACATCAATAAGCAAAAGCTAAATTACACATATTAAGATATATATCATAATTAACCTTCAAGGTATATATTTTAACTTACTGGGGCCACAGCAATGGTCTCCACATTGTTAACAGTAGTGGGACATCCAAAGAGTCCTACATCTGCTGGGAATGGGGGCTTTAGGCGGGGCTTGCCCTGTTTGCCCTCAATAGACTCAATAAGGGCTGTCTCCTCTCCGCAAATATATGCACCAGCACCACGGTGTACAAACACATCAAAGTCATATCCTGACCCACAGGCGTTTTTACCAATCAAACCTGCTTGGTATGCCTGAAAAATATAATAATAATAATTTTATCTTTTAAATTAGTTAGATTAAACATAAGGACTATATTTTTTATATTGAAAATATATGTATAATATTCTTACAATATACTACTTCAATAAATATATTTCCAGCTTACAAATGCTGTATAGATATATGTTTGTATCTTTTTAAAATAAAAAATTAAATCTAATCATAATTTCTAAGTAACTTTCCTATATTGAGTTTAAAAAGACATAAAAAAAATATTGTCTGTGTTTGTCCAACTCATCTCTGGAATTAATATGAAAAAAATACAATATTACCTAGAGAATACATTTATTTTGAAGATTCAAAGTATACCATCCATAATAAATTTGTGTCATGGGAAAAATAAAACATATAAGAGTGGGATTATTCAATTATTGTAAGTTACCATACCCTTTACTGTTAATGTACACTGATCTCTGTAAACTTAATATGTGTATCCATATTTAAGGATTTGGAAAAAAAAATATAAATTATTAATTTAATGGACAGAGATAGCCCAGTTCATCCTATTATTTATATGCTATTTTAACCTAAATAACAACAAAGGGCTAAAATATTTCACTTAAAGCAGTAAAATAACAAACATACCTCAGCAATAGCAACTTGCAAGTTGCTGGCTTCATTATAGAACTCTCCTCTTATGTAAATATAAGCAGCTTGAGCTCCCATGGCCTTGCCTGCTATGAGACAACCTTCAACAAGTTTATGTGGATCATGACGCATAATTTCACGATCCTTGCAAGTTCCTGGCTCTCCTTCATCAGCATTAACTACTAAGTATTTAGGTCTACCGTCAGAAGGCTTGTTCATGAAGGACCACTTCATACCAGTTGGGAAACCAGCTCCACCACGTCCACGAAGACCAGATGTTTTCAGTTCATCTATTTAAATAACTTAATGATTATTACTTATTCTAATATGATATAATATTAGGGTATGAAATTGAATAATAACATGTTTAATAATAAATATAATGAATTATATCATGTATACAAGTACTATTACTTAAAGTTGTGCAAGCAATAAAACTATAAAAAACTTACTATGTCTATCAATTATAATTATAGATAATTGGTGTTACAGTAGATACATAATGCAATATTAATGATTATATCTAATTATAAGATTATATCGCTATACGTACTGACGATCCAATCTGTTCCCTTGAGCAGGATCTCCTTAGTCATATACCAGTCTCCGCGGCGCAGGGCACCTTTCAGTCGCCAATCATGTCGTCCATATAAATTTGTGAAGACTCTATCACTGTCTGCCAAAGGGCCAAATTTGGTCTTGGTGCTTTGCGTTTGCTGGAATCTAATCGAACCATTGTTGATACTAGCTAATGGTCCTATTAAACCTGCAGAAAGACGTCAAAATTATGTAAGTTGCCCCACTACGCACATAAGTATTAATTCAATGAAAACTTTAAAACATTTAGCAACTGTAATGTTTTTATCGTGACACAGTTTCTATATAATGAAATCACCTAAATGGTTCTTCGAACCCTGAATAATCCTCGCCAGCGCACCAGCCATTTTCTATTTTTTTGGAAAAAGTATTTTTTGTTATAAAATGTCAAACGTGAGACATGTCAAAATTCAAATGCCAAAACTTCACAGCCGCTCACTAAACCATAGAGCATACTACACCACTACAGATTAACTACGTAAATGATACATATATCTGACCCAATAGACTAAAAAAGAATATAAACAAAGATTTGTTCGATAAATTAAGCACATTTCCCCGAAGAAGTAAACAAAGTCACTCATTTTTTGTTAGCTTAGGAAATAAACTTTCGATATTTAAAGCAGTTTACAGTTAAAACTACAAAAAATATAGGAATTTTAATCACACAAAAATAAACGATTAAAAATTATAATAATTTTGACGAGTCTAGCCAGTTTATAACTATACTCTTTTGAGTCTAGCAGTCAACGACGACGACGAGACGAGTCTTGGTCTATGAATTATGATCCTTAGTCCTTATTTGACTGGTAAATAAAATCGAAAATTAACATGCATGCTTCACAGAATTTGCGTTCTAAAATACCTTTATATTTAAGAAAATATTGCATGTAGGTATCTATTCATAGCAATTAGCAAATAAAATTAATTATAAAAATATAAATAGCATGTTATATTCATTTTTATACTAAATGAAAGTGATTGAAAAATATTATTAAAACAAATAAGAAAATGTGTCAAAGCCGTGGAGGCTGAAGCATAGATTGACAATTTGAACCATGGATAACAAATAAAATTTGAACTTTGAAATCTTGTTATCAATCAGGGTAAAAAATTTATCCTAAAATTAAAATAATCAAGTAGTAAAAAAGTTCTTTAATATTTATTACAATCGTTTTTTTATTCACTGGTTTCTCTATATTGGTAGTTTAAAGTTTTACTGTCTACCAGTATTCAAGTGTAAGGTACTAAATAATTTTTATTTTCAAAATTTATGAAACACGTAACTGTTATTATTTAACTATTTTTTAGATATTATATTTATTTACACCACAATTTTGTGTGAATTAAGAATGGCGGCTATAATACCAGCTGTAACTCGATTATCCAACAGAATAATAAGGATTCTTGGTTGCAATCCTGGACCAATGACTCTACAGGGTACCAATACCTATTTAATTGGAACTGGAAGAAAGTAATTATATTTTAATTATTATTATTTCAGGACTTTAAAATATTGCATTATTTATTATATTTAATTTAACATTAGTTACACTACATGAGCATTTTTTTAGTCGTATTCTAGTTGATACTGGTGACAAAGATATAACCGATTATCAGAAAAATTTAACTGAAGTTGTTAAGGCTGAACATGCAAATATTGAGCACATAATTGTTACACATTGGCATCATGATCACATTGGTGGTGTGGAAAACTTATATGGAACTATTGCAAGTATGAATATAATCTAATACCCTTCAATTCATTGAAATATTTTGATTATATGTAGATAGCTAATTTTCATAACTTTTTAGAAAATCCAAAAATATGGAAACACAAACGAGATATAAATGATGGTCCCAATAGTGAGTTACCGAAAACAATGCCCTTAAGCTGGTTGTCTGATGGGCAAGAAATCAAAGTAGAAGGTGCTACACTAAGAATCCATCACACTCCTGGCCACACTACTGATCACGTTGTCCTTACATTATTAGAAGAGAATATTCTCTTTAGTGGTGACTGTATATTGGGTGAGGGAACTGCGGTGTTTGAAGATTTGTATACATATATGCAAAGCTTACAAAAAATATTAGATTTGAAACCTGATGTAATTTATCCTGGACATGGTAATATAGTTGAGGTAAGTTGACATTTTTTGGTTTACAAAATTTAAATACTTTGCCTTCAGTTTCATATGTTATATGTAATCCACATAATATTATAAATATCTATACATTATAATAAAAGTAACTGAACACTGCCTATACTTCAAAGATATTTGAGAAAAACTATTATTGGGGTCTTTATTAATGCAAAAAAATCATAGTTTTGGGTTATTTTGGGTTCGACCTGCTGGGGGCATTCATTTGTGTGATGATGTGTGTTTATATTTATAATATGTATGTATTAAAAGTTTATATATGTTTAGTGTATCAACTAGTGGTATCCATAACATAAACTTCGTAGCTTACCATGGAACCAGAGGTGCTGTGTGTCAATGTCCCAAAATATTTATTTTATTTATTTAAATTTCCAGGATCCCATAGAAAAGATACAATACTATATTGCTCACAGAAATCAAAGAGAGTCTCAAATACTTGAAGCATTAAAGGAAAATATGGAAAAACAGTTAAATGAAATGGATTTGGTAAAAATAATATATATTGATACTCCAGAACAGTTGTGGCCGGCAGCTGCGTACAATGTGAATCATCATTTAACGAAGTTAACAAAAGAAAATAAAATTAAATATATCAGTGTTGACGGAGAGAATAAATGGCAATATATTGTATCCAAAAGTAGTTTATGAGTAAAATAACATAATTTAAACTTGGGTCATGATGGTAAATTTTACATTTAGAAGGAAATGGATGTAAACAGGACTTTACGAGAGGGCTAAAGACTAAAATGGAAGATATTATAGAATATATTTTTGAGTATGCTTAGCACCTGCCACAAAATTTTCCAAAATTAGTGGGTTGGTTTTTGAAAAACCTTGTCTGTATATAATATAAATTATAAATACATATTACTATATTTGAATATAAAAACTTATTATTTTATCATTTCTTTTTATTTCTATTACACAACACATAATTGATTAAAAAAATCATATAATCAATTAAAACTTATTAGTTTCAATTTGTTACAATATTGAATTGTACATAGTAATGCAGGTTGATACAAAATACAATGGGACTGAGTTAACATTATATACAGGGCCGAATTACCCATGCCGGGGGCTCACAGGCAATGTAATTTTCGGAGCCCTTTCACCCTTTTCTAACTTATTAAAATACATTTTTTATACCAAATGCAATTACATATATTACTACATTAGATTACATATTTACTCTATTAGATAGAAATCTAACTGTTGTATTTGTCCTCATGTTGAAATTTTCACCATTTTTATCAAATTTTATGAATTGAAATGAAACATTTTCAATTATTTTCTCGGTGCGTGGGGCCCCTAGCCGACACGGGCCCCTAGGCAGTTGCCTACACTGCCTTATGGATAATCCGGCCCTGATTATATATATGTAGGTATGTATAATGTATATATGTACTAAAAACGTCAGAATGTAATATCTTTTACAAATAAGAATTATTCATATGAAATATCGACATGATCATTTGCAGTATATCTATGTAGGTTCATATTTTGTATAGATTACGGTAACTTAGACTAATAGTACAAATTTTTGCTCATTTTTGATGAGAAAAAGTGTATTTGTATATCATTTACTAGCTGTGCGCCGCGGTTTCAACCGCGTTAAATTTGTTTAATTATAAACATCAGTTTTATAATAATATATGGATCTGCCCGATTTGCTGACATTTTATGATTATTACTCCATTGGGTAGTAGCATGATGATATATAGCCTATATATAGCCTTCCTCAATAAAAGGGCTATCTAATGAAGAATTTTTGAAATCGGATTTGTAGTTCCTGAGATTAACGCGTTCAAACAAACTCCACCTCTTTATAATATTAGTATAGATTTAGCCTCGATAAAGTTACTTTTAACTTTTATAGATAAAATTAATATATCTAAGTCGTTCCGACGTTTTTATATGATGATTATTAAAATTTATTTATTCTATTCATTTTAGTATTTGAAAATTATTCTTATAAACAAACTTTTAACAAAGGCATAAAAAAATATGATTTGTGGATGAGTTTTATAAATTATAATACAAACTTAATCGACATTAACACTATAATATCGACATTACATCACTATTATTATAATTATGTGAATGATATTTATTTCGATAAAAACACTAGTTTTTACTTTAATTTAAATTGTTTTTTTTTTCGAACAACTAATCATAATTGCTAATTCATTTAATAACATTAGAGCTTCTTTAGATTTGAAGAGAAATAAAATTGAAATAAGATGATATTTTTAGATCATAATTGAATTTCTTATAATAAAAATTAACATGCTTTTAATTTAATTACATTGTCCTATTTTTATGTTAACTTTATTATAATTATAACTTCTCTAAAAATTGCATCAGGAAATTAGACAACTTTTGTCTGTTGAAGCACATTAAAATAATTATAATTTCATTAAATAAAGTGTAATGAGCTGTCATGATTACTCAATTCGTTCATATAGTACATACATGCATATGTCGCAGATGGATTGCCGAATCCGCTGTTTTACAAAACCGCTAGTTGCTTTGCATAACACCGTTATGTCGAACAACTGAACAGCATTCAGCTGGATTATAAAAAAAATACCAAATGACATTCAGTTGTTGTACATAACGATGTTGTTTTATTAAACAACTAGCGGTTTTATAAAACAGCGGATTCGACAATCCATCTACGTCATATATATGCCTATTATTACATTGAATTTGTAGAAAGGCAAGTTATTCTATTTTAGAATATCCATACATTGTAAAATGTTACATATCATTTCCTGTTTTTATAATAACTATTGTTTTCTGTTACTGCCGGGGTCTTTTCGCTTGAGGTATCATGAAGTCCTCGTGGTACCTGTGTCTGTCGATGAAGTCCAGTAGGATCTCCTTTGTGACTGGCCTTTGTATAGACTCCCATACAGCTGTGAAATAAACGAAAATATTATTAATTAGCGAACTGAACTAGGTTGTTTCCCCATACAAACTTTCACCCCCTTAAGGGATGATTTCCGGAACAAAAACTATCCTATTTCCTTCCTGGGAGACCCTGTGTTCTCAAACTATCTTCTTACCAAATTTCATCAAAATCGGTTCAGTAGTAGGAGCCTATTTGATACAAGCAAACAAAAAAACTTTTTTTTCTCTTTATAATATTAAAGTAGATTATAATATATTTTATACCCATTTAAAATTTAAATGCTGTAGTTTTTAAATTTCATTTTTTACATCTATATTTTTCACTCCTAGATTTAGGTACTTGATTTAGTCTTAAGAAAATTTAGTAGATCAGCCGAAAAAAAAATCCTCTAGTTATCAAAAATGATAAAGGTATTCTTCGAGGTAGTCGATAAATATACTAAAAGTCCCCGGGGATGAGAGGGAAAGGTGCCCTTTTTAGATTTTTGCTCATATCTGTTTAAAAGATCCTTTTTGCAGTGGTAGCCTAGTGGTAACGCGCTGGCTTGGAAAACCGAGCGAAGCGGGTTCAAATCCCGGTTCTTGCACCTCTAATACTTTCTTATGTGAATCATTTCCAACCTGATTACCACTTGTCGTACGGTGAAGGAAAACATCATGAGGACACCTGCATGTCCAAGAAAACCTAGGAAAGTTTTCCAAAGACATGTAAAGTCCGCCAACCTGCACTTGGTGGCCCGTGCCCAGCAGTGGGACGCTAAAAATGGCTGAATACATGATAAAAATAACTTTATGTACTTGAGAAAACATAGTTATTTTAAAATCACAGACAGACACTTCAATTTTATTTATATGTATAGATATGTATATATGTAATACTTTATTAACTAAACACTCACCGGTAGCTGTTTTGTAGCTATTTGGGTAAGACTTGTCCGTGCGCTCTCGCATGAACACCCACTGGTTGTTCTCAAATTTGCATTCTATTATTTTGTTGTCCAAGTGTTTGATGGCTGATGACACTTTCATTTTCGCAAATGGCTCTGTTAATTGTCCCACGTAGAGTAAACCCACTTTTTTTGTTAGCATTCTGGAAGAAAATATATTTATATCAATTATATATACATTTTAGACTAAACAATTATATAGACGAATTCCGCCAAAATAAATGTGAAAGTAAAAAGTTTAGAGAGAAAATATGAATAACAAAAATAATACTATATTCTTATTCTTTATTATTTTTAAGCATAAGTTTTAGTTCTCTTCCCCTTGAAAGAGAGATAGCATAATATTAGCTTATTTAATTTTTATTTCTTTATTATTGTATAATAAAAACCATTAGCTATTTTATTCATTAATATTAATTATCAACTTATTACTCAGTATACAAATTGGTCATGGTCAAATCAGTAAAAAAAATCATTAATATTTTAAAACATTATTTAATATTAAAGCAAATGGTTCTTGTTGTGATGAAGGGGATTGTGTCTAAAGTCAACAACTTGCAACTTAAATGTAATTATTGAGCCAAAATAACCGTCGACAGATTTTTGACTTAATAATAAATAAATATGTTGGGACATTAACACACAGAACCATCTAGTTCCATGGTAAGCTACGAAGCTTGTGTTATGGATACCAAAATAAAATATATGAAATATTATATTAACCCGAGTCCACTCTCCTTGGCGATCTTGAGTTTGAAGTCGATACTGTTCATATCACTGGGTTTCCACTTCAGTACATCGGGACACGTGCCAGCCATGTAGCCCTGAGACAGATAGACAGATAAAATGAAACAAAAACTATTAATACTTTCTTAGATTTATTTATATATCTCTCCCGAAAAGATGGTTTTATTTAAAAAGTATTAAGTTAAATGTCTCGATGGTCTAGTCTGTACGCAACACTACAAGTTATACTGTGGCAATAGCTCGACTATGGTAAGCTGTGCCAAATATCTTATACTTTGTATGGGAGTCGTCTCATCTATATGGCTATGTGAACTTGGCACCCGACTTTGGAAAAATTGTTCTTTTTTAGGTTTATTTGAACGATTTCGGTTAGTAGTAGATAGTAGTGAAGCTAATTTCGTTTATAGTAGTGCCAAAAAAAAATACAGACAACAAAAAAAATGTCATCGATTGTAGCTGTTTGTAGTAACGTTAATTTCGTTTGTAGTACTATTATTTCGTTTGTAGTTGTTTGTAGTAACGTTAATTTTGTTTGTTGTACCATTATTTCGTTTGTAGTTGTTTGTAGTAACGTTAATTTCGTTTGTAGTACCTTTGTTTCGTTTGTAGTAACGTTAATTTCGTTTGTAGTACCATTATTTCGTTTGTAGTTGTTTGTAGTAACGTTAATTTCGTTTGTAGTACCATTATTTCGTTTGTAGTTGTTTGTAGTAACGTTAATTTTGTTTGTAGTACCTTTGTTTCGTTTGTAGTAACGTTAATTTCGTTTGTAGCTGTTTGTAGTAACGTTAATTTCGTTTGTAGTACCATTATTTCGTTTGTAGTTGTTTGTAGTAACGTTAATTTTGTTTGTAGTACCTTTGTTTCGTTTGTAGTACCATTGTTACGTTTGTAGTACCATTGTTTCGTTTGTAGTGCCATTATTTCGTTTGTAGTACCATTATTTCGTTTGTAGTACCATTATTTCGTTGTTGTCGTTTGTAATAATGGTACTAAAAACGAAATTAACGTTACTACAAACCATTACAAGCGAAATAATGGTACTAGAAACGAAAGAATGGTACTACAAACGAAATAATGGCACTACAAACGAAACAATGGTACTACAAACGTAACAATGGTACTACAAACGAAATTAACGTCACTACAAACGAAACAAAGGTACTACAAACAAAATTAACGTTACTACAAACAACTACAAACGAAATAATGGTACTACAAACGAAATAATGGTACTACAAACGAAGTAATGGTACTACAAACGAAACAATGGTACTACAAACGTAACAATGGTACTACAAACGAAATAATGGTACTACAAACGAAATAATGGTACTACAAACGAAGTAATGATACTACAAACGAAATAATGGTACTACAAACGAAATAATGGTACTACAAACGAAGTAATGATACTACAAACGAAATAATGGTACTACAAACGAAATTAACGTTACTACAAACAGCTACAATCGAAATGATGGTACTACAAACGAAATAATGGTACTACAAACGAAACAATGGTACTACAAACGTAACAATTGTACTACAAACGAAATTAACGTTACTACAAACGAAATAATGGTACTACAAACTAAATTAAGGTTACTTTAAACAACTACAAACAAAATAATGGTACTACAAACGAAATTAACGTTACTACAAACATCTACAAACGAAATAATGGTACTACAAACGAAATTAACGTTACTAAAAACGAAACAATGGTACTACAAACAAAATTAACGTTACTACAAACAACTACAAACGAAATAATGGTACTACAAACGAAATTAACGTTACTACAAACAGCTACAAACGAAATAATGGTACTACAAACGAAATTAACGTTACTACAAACGAAACAATGGTACTACAAACAAAATTAACGTTACTACAAAAAACTACAAACGAAATAATGGTACTACAAACGAAGTAATGGTACTACGAACGAAATAATGGTACTACAAACGAAATAATGTTACTACGAACGAAATTAACGTTACTACAAACCATTACAAGTAAAATAATGTTACTACAAACGAAATTAACGTTACTAGAAACCATTACAAATAAAATAATGGCACTACAAACGAAATAATGGTACTACAAACGAAATAATGGTACTACAAACGAAATAATGGTACTACAAACGAAATTAACGTTACTACAAACAGCTACAATCGAAATGATGGTACTACAAACGAAATAGTGGTACTGCAAACGAAATTAACGTTACTACAAACGAAATTAACGTTACTTCAAACGAAGTAATGGTACTACAAACCAAAATTAACGTTACTACAAATGAAATAATGGTACTACAAACGAAACAATCAATGTATTTAGTAAAAATCGTTCTGCAAAAATACTCGAAAAAAAATTTTTTTTTTGTTTTACTACAAACGAAAAAAATTGCACTACAAACCACTACTAACGTTTTACTATACGAATCAAGCGGAAAACATTTTTTTTACCAATTTCGGGGGATGACATTTTTTTTGTTGTCTGTATTTTTTTTTTGGCACTACTACAAACGAAGTTAGCTTCACTACTATCAACTACTAACCGAAATCGTTCAAGTAAACCTAAAAAAGAACCATTTTTCCAAAGTCGGGTGCCAAGTTCACATAGCCCATCTATATGCATATCCCACTATGAATGAAAGGAATGGGAGTGAACTTTTAATACTAAGCAAAGCTTAAAACTTTATTATAAACTTAAATTTTAATTTAAGTATAATAATTTTTTTGAATAAAATTTTATTTAAATATAATATATTTACTAATAAATAATAATACACAATACGAAATTTGTTTTTGAATTAAATACTCGAACTGAGGGACATTTTGAATAATTGATATGACATAAAATTATAGTACTTTAGGATGAAAATGCTTTGTCTATTTACGGTCAAACGGATGAATCGATTTTGATGAAATTTTATATAATTTACAGTTTACACTAGTAAAGTACTTCGAACTCTAAGAAAAGATTTTTAAATAATTCACCCAAGCATCAAAAACAGTAAGTTGCTTTCATCTCTTCAACTTAATATGGGTTTAAATAGATGATGGAGAGATCTAAAGTATCTTTTTAAAAAGCGACCTACATTTAGGTATAGAAAAAGGTCACAGTCACCGTTTGCGATGGTTGAAATATCAATCCGTCCGGTTCGTGTTTCAGAGTTCGAGCAAACTTTTCTTCTAACAGGTCCTTTGCCATAGTGAGGTCCCAAAACTGCTTGAGGACGACGCGAAATGGTTCCACTTCCTTGTTTATCATACCGTTACTTATTGCGCGGTCTCTGTTGATTAAATTTCGTATTATTATATGAATTATTTCAATCTATATATATATATATATATATGAATTATTTCAATCTGACCGAATAGACTCTTTCATTTCATCGCAGAAATATTATAAATACGAAAGTTTGGATGGATGTTTGTCCATAATTCAAGCAAGTTGAACGAATCTGGATGAAATTTGGCACAGAGTTAGATTATAGTCTTGAATAGCATATAGGTTACTTTTAATCCCAGAAAAATATACGGTTCCCGTGGGATAGATTTGTATTTGTTTTTCACAGAACAATGGATTGATTATCTTTTCCATACTAACCGTTATCAATAGGTATCAATAGTTCGTCAATTTGAGTTCATACAAAAATCCTATAAAAAAAAGTTTTTCGGAAAATTTGTCCATCGCAAAAACTTATTTGGATTATTACAAACGTTTCCAAAAAAAAAAACAAAACCGGTAGATACAAAGACATAAGACATGCGTTTACAGTGTCTATAACCATAGATGCAGTAGGTAACGTAAAAAACCTTGAGAACGTTATTTACGTTCGATATTTTTAATTTTAATATTCCACATAAAACATACCTTGGGTTAATAATCTCAGTTTCAATACATTTTAACCTGACCGGGTAAAAGGGTGCTTTACCCACGTTGATGTTTTCAAATCTTATAATATCGTAGCAGAGGTACCGCGGCTGTTTCGAACCATTTTTCTCTTCATCTAAAACCAATTCCTTAAAACACAAACTACATGTTTATATAATTAACAATAAAAAAATTAAACTGTTCGATATTATCAAAAAATAATTTCCTAAGTCGTTTTTGATCTAATATTGTGGTGTGTGGAATTTATTCACAATTTCATGGACTTTAATTTTTTTGCGCGGAACCCTAATCCTTTAACCGGAACAAACAGACAGACAGACCAAAATTTTAAAAATTGTGTTTTTCTTATAAGTACCGCATCTAATTACATATGCATTTAGTAAAAAGATGTTATTTTGACAATTCTTTGTTTAAGAATAGATTGTATTACTCAAAGGTGGAAAACAAAAAGGTTAGAATAATTTATTTTAAAGTTATATTTAGTCTGTATAGTACTTTAGCTATAAATTAACTAAATAATATAAAAATTTGTTACGTTTTGGTCCATACATAGTGTTATGAAGAGATAAAAACGCCACAATATTGAATTGGTCAAATGCCAAAAACACTACAAAATCGGACCAACTCGACTAGTGCTGATATCGATATAGAAATATAATCTATATAAATATTATAAATTTGAAAGTTTGTGAGTATGTATGGATGTTTGTTAGTATTTCACGCCAGAACGGCTGAACGGATTTCGATGAAATTTGGTACAGAGATAGATTATAGTTTGAAATAACACATATTGTACTTTTATCCCGGAAAAATATACAGTTCCCGAGGGATAGACGTGTTCTTGCTTTTCTAGAGGCGAACCCGAGCGAAGCCAGGGTAAGCCGCTAGTTATTTAATACTTTTAATTGCCGTGAAAGAAAAATATTTTCTGCCGTCTGTCTGCAAGTGTAAAATACAATAAAAAAAAAATTTACTCACGCCATCTAATAGAGTATCCCTTAGATGTCTATTAGGATCCTTGTTATGGGGAAACGAGATCCCATTTACTTTGAACACACAATTATCTCTGTCAATAAAATAGATTTCGTTGTGTCCGTCTATTAGCATCATGTATCTGAAATGAAATAAATAAATATGGTATTGTACGTATTTGAATTATTAAAAAAATACAAGACTATCAACTCAATTATTATTAACTCCTTTGACGACACGTTTGGCTCAGTTTGTAGTGACCCTACTTGCTGTGCCTGCGGTCGCGGGTTCGAGTACCGCTGGGGCATTCATTTGTGTGATGAGCACGAATGTTTGTACTCCAGTCATGGGTATTTATATTTATTATATCTATGTATTTAAAGTAATAATATATGTATCAACTATCGATCCATAACACAAGCTTCGTCAACCATGGGACTGGATGGAGCTGTGTGTTAATGTCCCAACATATATATTTATTTATGTATGGATCGCGAAAACAACTTTTCTAATCGAACTGGCAGTGCCAGATATTTGCGCGCTCTAATAAACAAAAAAACAAACTTTTCCAGATAAATCTACATAAGTATATCATACATGTACAGACATACTAAAAAAATGTGTGTGTACTTATGTACGCACGTAAGAAGTTATACTTGTTTGGCGTAACGGAACCAAAACAGCTAAAGATTTCATCCCGTATGTCACAAGTCTGTAAAAGGAATGCAGCTAACTTCATCATGTCGTTTTTTCTCATCATTTTTTCCAAACGTGCCAAAAGAAGTATAGCTTCATTAAAATATGATATAAAAAAAAAGGATATAGCTTTGTTACCTCACACCATCTGCCTTCCAAGACACTCTGTATGGCATTTTGGATAAATTTTTCAAATTTTGCAAATCCATGGACACAGGTTGTGACCCTGGGAAATCAGATCTGTTCCATTTGCAGAAATTTTGGGCCTTCGACTGAATCTCACTCACTCTTGGCTCTTGGTTGAAAAAAGTCACTCCTTGTACGTGAGGCATGAACTCTTTTGTCGATGGACCTCTTCTTTTTGATTTTCTGGAATAATTTGAACAAAATTATGGTTTTAATGTGTGTATACAGCCCTTTTTTAACATCCCACTGCTGGGCATGGACATCGCTTAAATACTGATCAGGCCATAGTCCACCACGCTGGCCAAGTGCGGGCTAGCGGAATTCATATGTCTGTCAAAAACTTGCTAGGTTCTCTCAAACATGCAGGTTTCCTCACGATATTTTGCTTCACCGTAAAACAAATGGTAATCATGTTGGAAATCATTCGGTGTTGGTTTGGAGTTGCGATACCCGGGATTAGAACCTGTTTTACTCGGTTACACAAGCAAGCGCGTTACTACTGGGCAACCACTGCCTCTTTTTTACTGGTTTGGCAATAACAATACCAATATTGATACGTTGGTTGTTGTATATCCAAAAAAAGACTTGGAATACGGTTCCATAATTTAACATTTTTTATATATTTACTTAACAATAATAAAATGAATATCAATCGACTTTTAAACTGAATTATTTGTACAGTAAATACTATTGATATTAACATAAATGTACATTCTAATTAAAATCTAAACAAATAACTTGCTAGCTAGCAGAAGTGTAGTGTACTTACTTTGTACCATGTGACTGACTAACATTTTGTGAGTAAGTAGGTGCATCATCATCATCATAATCGATCACTTCTTCCTCTAAAATTAAGAAAAAAACATATATTATGAAGCTATTATTTTTTGAAATAAAACGCAACAGTATTTAATATTAATAGCATATGCCTTTAAGAAAGTCATCTAAACATACAAAATGTGTGTTTGTAACCAAAGAGTATACAACTTAAACTTACCAAAGAGTATACAACACAACTTAAAAAAAATCATTCTTGATAAACAATTACGTACTCTGATTTTATCTATTGCTATAAGAGTTCTGCCCTTCTTTTATCCGGTTGGGATAACTCCTGGGAAAAGCTTGTGACTGTGATAGTAAAATGTAAAAAGGTAGTACCTTTTTATGGGGTGACACCCGATTACACATGTGATACTATTTTAGAGATTTAATTCCAATTTTTTTTAACGCCCCGCTTGTGCTAACTACATTAATACCAATAACCCTATAAATTGCGAAGTATGTAAACTAAAATGCGATTAAGGAAAATCTAAAATGCGAAGAACACTAACCCTTTCACCGAGCCTAGCAAATGCTTCTATTAATCGTGAGCACAAATAATTATTACCAGTACCTGTTCATGGGGTTCAAGGCGTGTCATAAATAATAAAGAGCTAGTATAAAGGACGACTCAACCAAATGAACCTAAACACGCGCGCACGGCGGTCTGATTTGCTACAACGATGGGGGTGACAAAATTGGAACCAATTACCGGCTGGGTGATGAGAAGTAAATTGATTATTATCTTTAAGGTTGAATGGTCTCGACTCACAAAACTCCTCATAAGAAAAGTCAAGATTTAAGAAAAAAATCCCTATGGAATCAAACCAGAATCAAAGATATACACAGAAGGACCAAGGTTACTGATATTCAGCCAAGCCTTGAAGCTTATTTAATTTGCATATGGATAGATTTGTTTTTGTTTTTCACTAGAGTCGAACACGAGCGAAGCGAGGGTGAGATGCTAATCTTCGATATCTATACATATGCATACTATAAAACAAAGTCCCCCACGGCGTCCGTCTGTCTGAACGCGATAAACTCAAAAACTACCGAACAGATCTTCGGACGGTTTTCACCAATGGACGGAGTGATTCATGAGACAGGTTTAGGTGTAAGTATAATTCATTATGGTTTTTTGTAAATTGATTGAAATATGACGATGACTGTTTAAAATTTCGGAAGAAATCATGCCGACTGGGAGCTTTATTGGCGTACGCCGCGTAAACTATTGCAGGCAGAAACACAAAATGTATACATATATGTAATAAAATTGTAACTAAGTCGAATCTGTACATGAGATATTTTTTGGAAAATCTTATTGAAATAAACTTTATTATCGATACAGAGGCCGAATCTATGGTTTTTAGAATTTTTGTCTGTCTGTCTGTTACCGCATCACAGAAAAACCACTGGAGGGATTTTGATGAAATTTGGTATGGTGATAGCTAGTTATCCGTGTCAACGTATACATTAGGTTATACTTTTAACCGCGGGAAAATGTCTCATTTCTGAGAAAAAATACAAAAACTGCAATCTAAGAGTATACTAATATGTAAAACATAAAAATTTGGTTTTTGGTCATCTGAACGCGGGCGGAGCCGCGGGCAATGCTAGTGTTTTAATAAATTGAAAACTATAAAAATTACTACAACAACATCTGCGGTAGTATATGTCTATCATCAACATGAAGAGACTAACTCGAACAACGTAATAATTTCGTAACGACGACGACAACGGGTTCGGTGGCAGACGTGGACGAGGAGGGTCCTAACTCTTAGCTAACAGTAACTGTTTTCTTTTCAGTATTTCCTGTGGTGCCTAATTAGATAAATAAGTAGTCAAAAATTCAGATTTTTTTCAATGTATTCTATGGACGGTTGCAATTGCATGTAAAGGAAGTATTTTTGTTTTATATTTCCTTAAGGCAGATACTTATTGTAGGGCTACATATAGGGCATTTTTTATTCTTGAAAAATGTAGGGTCCCAGCGCGAAAATCGAAAACCTTTAAAAATTACTCAAGATTCAAATATACCTTTCAATAAATTGTTCAATAGAGTCAATATGAACACAATGTATTGTGGAATTATTCGCCCCTTGGGACGTACACAAGCAAAGTGAGTGTAAGTCGCTAGTCTTGTATTATATTATATACTCACCATTGCACCAATCTGGTCTTGGTGGAGCTGCAATTGTACTATCAATTTCGTCATAACGTCTATATAGTTCCTCTAAATAATCCTGCTTGTAAATACCTGGTTCTCTGAATAAAAAATAAAAAATGTAATAATTATATTTAATTAATACTTATTTAATAATAAAGAATAACAAGATAATATAATAAACATACACATAATATATGAAACTCCATAAGCAATCTTAGTATATTATTTTCTCAAAAATTTAAAGCTAAAATTAAAAATATTCTAACTAGAAGTAGGTATACACTCTATTCAACAGTTGTTTGTCAATGTAAATATATGGAATTAAGATTGAGATAAATTGATCCTTTTGTAGGTTAAGTATAGTATAATACAAATACTATAATAAGGCATTACAAGAGTTGACACATTGAGTTATGTTGACATTCTCTCTTGTCTCTTCTCAGTAGAACTTATGGTAACTTTCTCCTGGGCCGACCCTTTTTAATTAAAATTAAAGATTCAGTGCTTGTAAAAGTCTAATAGAATAAAGTTAATTTTCAATTTATTAATGAGATATCATTCTTAACATACTATGTGTGCTACTTGACTTTCAATTACCTTTTTCTTGCGAATTCTCTAATGGCTGCTTCTAAACTACAATCCTGTTGCTCAACTAAATATGCAATTAAAAGGAATCCAGTTCTATTGAAACCATGAGTGCAATGAACACCAATTATATCATCAGGTTTCTGGCTCATGAATAAGCATACAGTCCTTATAAATACTCTGAAATATTGAACAATTCAGGTAAAGAATGATCTGGTATTAATTCAAAAACACTAAGCAATTAATAAGAAATCTGTTTTGATAGTTAATAATAGAAGCCTTATATAAATATATCTTTTATATATTACTGTGTTTGTTCTAAAGAAGGAGTCTCCCCATGTCCACGACACTTTAACTTAATGTATCTACAATCATATTTTTCTATTTCTTCTTTGTCATAGAAACGAGACGTATTTGTTAGGTCGATCCAAAGGCCGAGCTTTTTCTGAAAAACATTCATACGTCAACTTTCAAATGTTATTTCAGTGCGCATTTAAAGCAGCTATTATTTAATTACTTACTTTATATCGTTTAACACTGTCAAATAACATTTTTGGTGTAAAACGATTACATTCTGGCACTTTTTCATTAAATGCTGAACTAAGAGGTGTCTTAAACGCTAAGAATTGGCCTGCAATAAGTTGATCAGCTTTTCTTGGACACTTTAACCATCGATTTGGTATAGGTCCTGGGTCTCTTTTATCGGACATAATTACAATTTATTGACTTAAAATATAAAAATAATAAAATAAGACTGTCCTTTAATACGATATTTTGGCAATGCATGTAATTTTTACAGACATTTACAACAAAATATTATTAAGTACCTACGTACCAGAACAAGCAACAATAAATATTTGACAACTGTGAACTGACATTAGACATACAGACTTAGTGCTGCCAACATTATAGGATTAGGTTGTGAAGTGAAATGAAACTTTATTCTAATAGACTAATTAAAGGCACTTTTAAATCGTCAATTTAATTTAAAGAGCGTCAGTGTAGTCAGTCCGTTATGAAGCTACCACGGCTCGAAAAGCAGTTCTGCTGAGAAAAGCCAGCGAGAAACGCAACAGTTGCTCTTTAAATATCGAAGTTACAACTTACATTAATAAACATAATATTATAGAGTCCGCTTACTCTTGAACAGATTAATACACTTTGCTCAATAAAATATTTTTAATTTACTTTGTTAAATTTGTGAAAAGGTAAATCTAGGACAGTTTGTGGAATCTTATTAAAGAATATATGCTTAAATACTCAGCAAAGAGAATGTAATCACTACGTTTATACTCAGCCCCATGAAGGATTTATTCACCTTTTGTAGTCCAAATGTGGGGGTAACAAACTTATTTATATTCCTAGTGTTTATAGTGTGTCTATTACTGTTTTTTTTTAAATAATAAGTATTTAATTTTTTGCAAACGTAATAAATTACACAGTATAATAGACACATTATTACTAATCTGTGAATTAAGTAGATCTATATTTTCTATGGAGGGTACAGCTAAGGAGAACTATCTCTGTGATAAAAAAGTGTCCATCGAAATGCGTTAAATGGCACCACGGTAGCAAGTGGGTGCATTTTGAAGTATACCCCAAAAGTATTATTAAAAGTTCATAATAAATAAATCCTTCTCTACGTTTATATCGCCACAGTTTTCAAAGTTCAGTTATATTAACTAAATTATTTTGAATAGTTTCAATAACTACTCAAGTCACCCAAAATACTAAATTGGACACACACACAGAACACTTCACTCCGACTACAACTGCTAAACTTATATCATACATTCCTGCTACCAGCGCCATTCTGGTGGGTTGTTGATTTGTTATTTACTACTTACAGCTTTGATCAACAATACTACTAGATAACGTGTCACATACAAAATCAAAGCTAAATTCTATTCTCGCGAATATGTACTTATACAGCTACATTTGTATAATAACGAACCAAGGCAAAGTCTTATAATAGTTTTTTTACTGTGCCCAGGAGCGGCGCTACGGTTAAATCCGGCACTGCCCTTCATATTTGTTGTCCAGAAATAGTCAAGTTGTGAATAGCTAAAGCCTAATATCTCTCACTCTATTATAATAGATACATGTAAAGGACTTAAATCCAGAATCTCTGCCATTTGAATCTTAGGCACTAGCCACAGGATAACCGAAGCTAATAAAAAATTTTGTTCTTAAACTGAAACTATGATAAAATAATAAATCATTATTACGAGTAACTTAAGCGGCCAAAGTTTAGGGCAACTTTTGTTTCGAAAAGAGAAAAAGAATCTTTCAATACTTTAAGAAAGTTTTTTAAGCATGGAAGAATTCACAATCTTTAAATGATGATGTTTTAAAAAAGTAACAGGCAATATGATAATTATTTCAAAAGTAAAATTGAAAACTGAAAGAGATAGATATCTCATTGAACTCATTGAAGGTTAGATAGATTCAAATTAAATGTCTTCAGTGACATATATCAGAGTGTCGTTTTACAATTTCCTTGCAAGCTTCACAATATCCAGCATTTAAATGGCTGTTGACAGTGGTAGTAACATAAAAGCATATAGTTAAGAGCATTGTCTCTTTTCTACTCCTGTCTTTTGAAATTATTAGAAAGAGACACATGTCAATGTAAATATTATGTTGGCGGCGCTTAAAGTTGGTATTTGCCCAGAGGCAGCCTGCCATTTTGTAAAATAGAAGGGAGATAAAAAATAGTTTTATGGTGTTAAAATTTTACATAAACGTCGTTGCCATTTATTTAAGGGCTCAAAACAAATGTTTAAATGGACGCATCGTCCATTATAACTCAAGTGTCACGGGATGACGAACAACTAAACAACTATGGATCCGCCAGCGGTAAAGCTTAACTCAGTTACACCTGTTACCCACTGCCATCAAACTAGAGCGTATAATGTTACCTTCTCATCAGATTCGTCTATTTGCTGATTGTGACCAATTTATAATGAGTAAATTGTTAAGCGGCTTATCCTTGGTTAGTGTTTACCGTGTGAACAAAGCTGAGGTAAACAATTGAAACGTGTTGCTGCGAAAACATTCTTGCAGACAACCTTGAGAGCTTGTCCAAATGCAAACCCTACATAATATACAAGGTGTCAACTTGCGCGTGTGTTCTAGTGTCGTGTGTTTATGTTACATGTTTTTTATAGGGTCTGTGTACGTCCCTGGCGGACAGCAAAACGATGGAGATGGAACACCTGTATCGGGCTCCACTCCACTGGGAAGTAAGAAATCGAGCGGTAGTGGAGGCTTCCTACGATCCTTATTATGTTGTTGGCGAGGCGGGCGTGGCAAGGGTCCACCTGGTGGCAATGGTACAAACAGCATCGATGGAAGGGCCTCACCCCCCCTTCTTGTCATGTCAGATCACACAGCAAGGCCATTGTTACCACCTGTAAGACATCAGGATATGCATAAGAAGTGTATGGTGATTGATCTTGACGAAACATTGGTACACAGCTCCTTTAAGGTATGTTTAAATTTCTTTATAAGTGTTTGAGTATGCTGTCTTTGAAAATAAACTAAATTAATTCAGTCAACATAAATCCAAATTCAAAAACAATGAATGTATTGCAGTAAAATAATTGTTATTGTTAGACCTAATGTTTTTTTTTCAATTGAGAGGTATATTTTTAGTAAGATTTTTACTCTGATATTCCAAATATTTTAATGTGTCAAATATTTTTTATTTGTTAAAGTTAGATAATTTATAATAAAAGTTAGTAAATAAACAAAACGTAAGTTAAAAAACATGTTTATATGAAACAGTATTCATGTAAATATGAAATGGAACATAGACATAAAATTTGCATATTTTTGTATGCAATGATATTAATTAAATAAACATAATGACAGGTGGTAATTACTTTGATAATAATCATCATACATAATATAGAAGCCTTTAATGGGAAGCATAGTTTGTTTTAGGTTTATTTTACCAACTGAATTTAAAACCCTATTTTAAATTTAGATCATTAATTTTTTCATCGTCAAAAAACCTCAGAAATCAATTCTATGCAAATGTTATGGTTCAGTTTTTTCTTCAAAAGGTGTCAGTTGAGCACAAGTTTCTAAGCCAATCTTATGTTGAATGGGGAAGATATAAAGTTAAAATAAGATACATATAAAAGATAATAATTAATATACTTATATTATAAATGTGAAAGTTTGTGAGGATGGATGTTTATTACTATTTCATGCTAGAACGGCTGAACAGATCTGGACGAAATTTGGAATGAAGATGAATTATAGTCTGGAATAGCACATAGGCTACTTTTTATCTCAGAATAATGTATGGTTCCCGTGGGATAGATTTGTTTTTGTCTATAGATAAACCCGAAGCAAAGCGAGGGTAAGTCACTAGTAGATTATAAATGGAAGTAAATCCATCATAAACCTGGGATCTACAACAAAAACAGTACAGTTAATATATCCATAAAAATCTCAATTATCAATATATATATATAAAACAGATCGAGTTTGTTACAACACTTATAACTCGAGAAGTGCTGTACGTACTTTTATGATCTTTTTTTTGATGCATTTGTTTTCACCCCGAATAGCAGAATAACTATTAAAACATTGGAAAATTTCACAAAAAAATGTTTTGAAAAAAAAAAAAACTATTCCACATTAAAGTCAATATGTACCTACTGACGAAAGCGAGGGTGAGTCGATAGTTTTATTATATTTTTAATAAATAATAAGCCTGTTCAAAAAGCCAAGAATTATGAGATAAAGAATTGACTTTATGTCATAATTTTTAGGTGTATGGTTTTATCACAAAAAAAAACCAACAAAGGTATGTATGAATTCAACAATGCTTGATTTTATAGGTATGTTGTAATGTTTTAGTACTGAGGGAAAAGATAAATTGTTTTTATCATCATTCATATCTAGATAACCTTGAAGTTCATCCTTTCAGTATTGTTTTGATTTTTGTTTATATTAAACATGAAATATGTAAATATTGTATGTGTATGTATTCAGCCCTTTTTTTAATGTCCCACTGCTGGGCATGGGCCTCCCTTCAGTACGAGGGGAATCAGGTCATAGTCCACCACACTGGCCAAGTGTGCGTTGGCGGACTTCACATATCTTTTGAAAACTTGCTAAGTTCTCTCAGACATGCAGGTTTCCTCACGATGCTTTCCTTCACCGTTAAGACAAGTGGTAATCATGTTGGAAAACATTCGCACATGAAAATATCAGAGGTCCGAAATGTGGTGTGAAATATCAGGGACCCGAGATTTGAACTGGCTTCACTCGGTTTCCCGAGCTAGCGCGCTACCACTGGGCTACCATTGTCATATGTATACCATTTGTATACCATTGTTATATATATATATATATATATATATACATATATATATATATATACACACACACACATACATACATACATATATTTTAAATATTATTTTAATTTGACGAAATTAATATTTTTTGCTAATCTTATCAATTATAATAACATTCTTATAATAATAGAAATAGTCTGAGATACTGATTTCCTTATATTCTTTATCCAAATGGAACACTTTGCCAAATCCTCTATACTGTGTAATGATGATAGTGAAAGTAGCAGTAAATAGTTAAGTAATTTGTTAAGCCTTGTAATTTGTTTTAGAAGATTAGTGGTTACAAACAAATATACAAACAATAAATTATAATGATTTACAGCTAGAGCTCAAAATGAAATCATACTGACAGCAGTATCTATCAGTTTTATAACATACACTAGCGACTTATCCTCGCTCCGCTCGGGTTCATCCCTGCTTACGTTTTAACGTTTAGTATAGATTTCTCAGAGATGAGATAATTTCCCGCAGTAAAAGTTTATGTTGACCCAGATACCCAACTATCATCATACCAAATTTCAACAAAATCTGTCCAGTGGTTTTCTCCTGATGCGTTCCCGGATAGACATAAAAATTCTAAAAACTATAAATTCGGCCTCTGTATCGATAATGATGATGTTCTCCTAGCCGATTTCGGCCACGGCGGCCAATCTCAATGAGATTAGCCAACTGCGCAGGAGATATTATAGTGCTCAAGTGTACGCGCAAACACAAGTGCACTCTTTGTTCCCATCACTCTCATACTCCGGTGGGACGACCACTCGACACGACCGGTGAGAGTTAAGGCGCAGGACCGACGGCTTTACGTGCTCTCCGAGGCACGGGGGTGAAACACCGCCAACTTCCCAACTCCGGGCTGTTACTGAGACTTACTATACAGGAAGACTCAATAACTAAACTTGGCCCGACCCGGGACTCGAACCCAGGACCTCCGGGTGTGCAGCCGTACATTCTAGCCAATACACCACCGAGGTAGTCGATAATAATGACTATTTCAATAAGATTTTCCAAAAAATATTTAATGTACAGATTCGACTCAGAATTTTATTATATTTATAGATTATATTTATAAGTACATACATAGGTATATTATGTAACATCACTTGTTATTTGAATTCTGATAATATTATGATCATGAAACGGTTGACATTATTTACTTGGAAATTAAAATTGCTTGCAATGTTGCAGATAAATCATATGTTGTGGGCTTAAATATGTATATTCCATATCTTTTTTATAATCGAACTAGCAGAACCCGCGGCTTCGCTCGCGTTAAAACTACAAAAGTCTCTAAAAAGGCAGGTTTCATACAAACTTTCATCCCCTATTTTACTACCCGCTTATGGAATGTATTTCGAAAAATGCTAAAACACGTGTTTATTTAATTATATAGGAGAGCGTTTATACCAAGTTAAAGTAATTATGATCATTAATATCTTTTTGGGTTGTATTATAACGTGTTTTACCGAGGGAATGAGATAATCTCTCGCAGTAAAAAGTAGGCTATGTCACTCTTCAACCCTCTGACTATCTGCACACAAAAAATCACGCCAATCGGTTACTTCGTTTCGACGTGAAAGAAGGACAAACAAACAAACACACATTCACATTTATAATATTAGGTATGGATTTAAAAATTTTTAAGGTTCCTTAGCAAATAAAACCATATAACAATTTTTGATGTTGCGCTATTAAAATTCGTACAAGTCTCCGATTTTTTTACATAATTACGAGACTTTTAATTTAATGATATACTCCGATTACTTAGTCTACATTGTATAATTTTCCAGTTGAGACACTGTTATATTGCTATTGCATCTAATTATACTTCGTAGAACTTGATACTATTGTTCTCTTTGACACGACCAGATTCTTTCGCTTCTATGAAGAATTAGAGCGTGCCGAAATGTAAAGGGTTTATTGTGTAACGGGACAGATGGTACAATAAAAGTAAAAGATAGTCAACGGTGCCTTCGTGATATTTATCGGCTATACAAAGAACCTAAAAAATAGGTCTCTTTTTAAAAGAAATATTTTAAACTAGCATTGCCCACGGCTCCGCTCGCGTTCAGATGACCAAAAATCAAATTCTTAGGTTTCACATATTAGTATACTCTTACATTGGAGTTTTTCTATTTTTTCTCAAAAATGAGATATTTTCCCGCGGTAAAAGTATCTTGACCCATAACGCGTAAGTATATTGACCCAGATAACCAGCTATCATCATACCAAATTTCATCAAAAACACTCCAGTGGTTTTTCCGTGATGCAGTCATGCGTCGTTCCGTGATGCATACATACAGACAGACAGACAAAAATTCAAAAAATTATAGATTCGGCATCTGTATCGATAATAATGCCTATTTCAATAAGATTTTCCAAAAAATATTTAATGTACAGATTCGGCTTATTTACAATTTTATTATTATCTCTAATTTTGCTGCCGACTGACTAGTCGTGAATAATGTGGATGCTAATAGCTGTTTTACCAAATTTATGAAGGCGACATCGTGGAAAAGTTGACATTTATGAATCCACCTTTCGCCAAAAAAGATTTTAACCTATTGAGCTTAGTTTTAATGCAGATGCATTGAATTCGAGGCCGTCGTATTTCTAGTGCTTTTCAATCTGGGTCAACTTTGTTTTTCCACCTAAAATGTGAATATTTTTCCTAGTAATTCGAAATGATGACAGAGTTTTAATTTGTTTTATTATGAATAGCGCTTGTATGACGACGAAGAGATTATTATTTTAATATTAATAGTTACATATCCATATCCATACTAATATTATAAAAGAGAAAGTGTTTGTTCGTTTGTTTGTTTGTTTGTCCTTCTTTCACGTCGAAACGGAGTGACGGATTGGCGTGATTTTTTGTATGTATATAGTTAGAGGGCTGGAGAGTGACATAGGCTACTTTTTACCGCGGGAGTTTACCTAATTACCAGGGGAAACACTATAATACATTTCAAAAAAAATATTTATCATCAGAATTACTTGAAACTAGGTATTAATTGCTTTTCAATAAAATTGAATAACTACGTGTTTTAGCTTTTTTCGAAATTCATCCTATAAGAGGATAAAATAGTGGATGAAAGTTTGTATGAAGCTG